TCAGGTGGATTATGGGTGATACTCTTTCTTCAAAAGTTTACTGTTCTTATATTGTTTTCATTATATAAAATGTAATCTTCACTATTTCAGAGACAGTGGGAAATTTGCTAGCTACTTAAGTTATAATTGAATTCAAAGTGGTCAGTTAGACAAGCATTTCCCTAAGTGCGTTCCTTGGAATACTAATCCCAAGGAGTGCTTCGTGAAAACAGAGTCGATAGAAACACAAATTTTGTAAAAGCTGTATTCTATAACCTCCTTTTGGAAATTAACAATGTAAATCAGATTAAACACTTCAGCATGTTCTGCAGGAAAGAAATATGTTTAACTTTGTTTAAGGCATTTCCAAAAACCCTTTGGCCATAGACCACTTTTGTCTCATAATGCTGATTAAGATGCAGAAAACTAAGGTAGGGGACAAATCTTCTAAGAAGATAAATAAATTTGATGGAGAGCAGTGGTGTCAGGCTATGAATGCTAAAAGGAACTTCTCTCTTTCTCAGCTTTTGCACCGTGGAGGTGGGTACAGGAGCCTCTAGATCCTGCAAGTATGAGTGCCAAAGCCAGCAGTTACAAGAAAGTGCAAAAGCATTTCTGCGTTGAACAGGCAGAATATGCCCCACCCCCTCCTTCATAAACTTAAACAATCTTTTAGGGTTGCATTTGGTCGTTTCTGTCAGTCCACATGCCCTCCTATATCTATGTGAACACAGTCAATAGTCAGGGTGTGTAATGTTAAGAGTGTGGGTTTAGTGTCAGGAACCCCTGGGTTTAAATCCTAGCTCTTTCACCTCAAGGCGCTGTGACCCGGGCCAGGTGCTTAACACTCTAAGCTTTGTTTCTTAAAAAAGCCAATGAAATGGAGATGACAATAGGGATTCTCATGGGGTTATTTCTTTCATTCAACAAATAGCCACAGTTGCTGTTCCAAGCACTTAGAGAGACTGACAAAGTCCCTGCCTTGGTGGAGTGTACACTAAGGTGAGGAGACAGAACCGAGCAAGTAAATAAATATGTAACAACGTCACTGTGGGAGGGGCGGGTCACACTGCACCCAGGGGAGGCTGGCTGAGGGGCGCTGGAGCAGGCTGCTGGGTCATGAGGAGCCGGCTGCCACCAGGAGCTCGGGGAGAAAAGCTGAGCCAGCAGAAGCCAAGTGTAAAGTCCTGGAGGCGGAAGATTCCTGCGGTGGTTGGGAGGTGGAGGAGTGGTAGGGAAATGCCAAACCTCTGTCAACAGAGAAGAGCTGAGCTGCAGTGAGAACAGAAGGTGTGGGAGACGGTGGGGAATCAGTAGAGGAGACCTAGAGGGTCAGAGGCCAGGAGGGGAGCCAGGAGGGGAGCCAGGAGGACTACGGTTCTGAGTGGAGGGGAGGGAAGCTTCTCAAGGAGGAGGGCGTCGCCCAGGACAGTGAAGGCTGGGAAAGGATTTGGCCTAGATGGCTTGCCGAGAAAGGGCACTTTCCACTCTCAGCTCTCGGTGAGCTGATGGGGACCAGAGTCAAGTAGGGAGGGGGTTCAGGCAAGGACTCCCCCTCCCAACAATGGGCATTGGGTTTTAGAAATCCATTGAGTTGATTCTGGCTTCTGCCTTTCTGGGCTTTATCTTTTGTGTGTATTTTTTTACACAAAATATTCTATTTTAAAAATAATTCAGCTTTAGAAAAGTAAATATGAAAATCCAGAAAAGTAAAAAGAGGAAAAGTCATTTACAGTCCCGCCACTCAGAGACGGGCACTGCTAGTATCACAGTGGAAGGTCCTTTTTCTATGCTTTTATTTAACATTATTAGAAATCATACTATACCTACAATTTTATGTCCAGTTTTTATAAGCATGACATATGAATTTTCTCATGTTAGTATAAGTTTAGCAAAATGTATCCTTTTAAAAACATATTTTTTGTTATAAAATACATATTTATTATAGAATAATTGGAAAAGAGAGAAAAGAAGACAAAAGCCACCCACAGTCTCATCGCCCAAAGACAGCATTGCTAATGTTTTTTTAGTATTTATAGGTTCTTTTCTACACAATGATTTTTAATATTTTTATTTTATCAAAGTAATACATGAACATGGTTAAAATTCAAACAGTACAAAAGGGCTACTAATGAAAATGAACAACCCCCCGCCCTATGTGAGGATTTAGCTCACTTAGCACCACCCTTCTTCCACTCTTTTCACATAATTATGGCAATATTTTCAGTTGGCTATCTTTATAGCTTTATGTACTATACCTATAGTTTATTTCCTATCCTGCCAACTATGGACAGTGCTTCTTGACTTTCCATTTTGTAAGATAAAGATATTAGTACCTACCTCTTTTCTTCAACTTTTTTTGTACCTTTCTCTTCCCAATCAAATTCTTTAAACACTGTTATAATTTTACCGTGCTAATTTTTCATTCTGTTTTGTCCACATAAAGTATTTTTAAAAGATATAATTAATGCAGTAAAAGGCAATGGTCTTAAATATATAGCCTGATGAATTTTTTACCTATGTGTACATCTGTGAAACCACCACCCAGATCAACATATAGAAACATTTCTGGCATCCAGTAGGGTCTCTCATACTCCCCTACTTAATATTCCTTCAAAGACCACTATTCCAATCTCTATCACCTTTATAGCTTGGTTTTCCCTGTTCTGTAATTCATATAAACAAAATCAAACGGTACGTGCTCTTGGGTCTGGCTTCCTTCATTCATCATTGTTTTTAAGAGTACTCTGTTTCGCCCGGCCGGGCATGGCTCAGCGGTTGAGCGTCGACCTGGGATCCAGGTGGTCGGGGTTCAATTCCCGGTCAGGGCACATGCTCGGGTTGTGGGCTGCAGCCGATCAATGACTCTCTCATCATTGATGTTTCTATCTCCTTCTCTCCCTCTCCTTTCCTCTCTCTGAAATCAATAAAGATGTATTTAAAAAAAAAAGAGTACTCTGCTTCATTGCAGGTATCAATAGTTCACCTTTTTTATCGATGTACAGTTGGTATACCATATTATATTAGTTATGTTAATTTCAGGTGTACAATATAGTGATCTGACATTTTTATCCCCTACAATGTGATCACTCTGCCAACTCAGTAATTTAGACACTCAGAGGGCTCTGTCCTAACTAAATGGAAGTGAGTGGAGAAAGGGATGGGTAGAAAGAAAGAAAAACAGCACAATCCTGTCTTTTAAGGCCTTTGATAGAGAGAAAAAGTTTACCACTAACTTCAAAAGTCCTGCTTGGGAGCTGGAATCCAAGGGCCACCTTCCCTATGGCAGGTCCTCTGGATTGGTCATTAGACCTGCTGTGATAAGAGATAAAGGGCCTCCCTTGGATAAAGCAAACAGAGAGAGAAACGCGTGCACTGAAAAGCAGCCAAGATCAATGTGATATTTTTTTGATAGATTGACCTTTGACCTGGTTGCTCCCCGTGGCGCCACCAGGTATGACTGATTCCCATGACAGCTCAGCTCTCTACTGTGGTGTGGCCCCCTTCCTCCCTGGTTTGGTTTCAGCAGTATTATCTCTCTGACTGAGCCACCCTCTGTCACCAAACATAGGGCAGACTAGCCAACACCCTCCTCATACTTGACGCCCAAAGCAAGAGGACAGCGGACTGGGCTCCCACAGCCTTCCTTCCCACTGCTTCCTTTCATCTAGCTGGGTGGGAGGGGGAAGATAAATGAGGGCCTGTGCTTACTCAGAGGACACAGAGCCCTTAAAACTACTTGTTGCATTGATGAGTCACGTGTTGCAACTAGATCCATTTCCCCGTTAGGGAGTTTCACTGCTGCTTGTCAAAATGTTTATCCCCTGACCATTATCAGGTGAGCTTGTTAAAAATGCAGTTACCCCCCTAGCTGGTTTTGCTCTATGGTTAGAGCGTCAGCCAGCCGACTGAAAGGTCCCGGGTTCGATTGTGGCCAAGGGCACATACTTCGGTTGCAGGTTCAATCCCCAGCCCTGGTTGAGGTGCTAGTGGGAGGCAACCAATTGATGTGTCTCTCTCACAGAGATGTCTCTCTCTGTCTCTCTCTCTCTCTCCCCCCCTTCCAGTCTATCTGAAAAGCAATGGAAAAAGTATCCTCGGTGAGGATTTAAAAAAAAAATAAAGTTACTGGGCCCATCCCAGATCTGCTGAAGCAGCATCTCTGAGAGCTGGGCCAGCTGCTTTTTAACAACTCCTTGAATGAATGTAAAAAACACTAAAAGAGAGTTACTGGGCCCTGGCCAAGTGGCTCAGATGGTTGGAGCGTCATTCTGTACATCAAGAGGTTGTGGGTTTGATTCCTAGTCAGGGTACATACCTCAGGTTGTGAGTTTGATCCCAGGTCAGGGCACATACGGGAGGCAACCAATTCATGATTCTCTCTCTTCCTCTCCCTTCCTCTCTCTTTAAAAATCAATAAAAAAACATATCCTCAGGAGAGGATTAAAAAAAGAGAGAGAGAGAGAGATACTGGACCACATTTAATGTAAGACAAAGTGTGAGGCCAACATGGATGGAAAGGCCTGGGAGTCTTTACCTGTATCCATTTCTCATTTGCTAAAATCCCTTCCTAATGTCCCAGTTTCATGACATAATTTTTGAAGTCAAATTTAAACAGCTCTAAAGCATACCACTAATTACATTCTGTTTCAATTATAATGTTAATTGGTTCCTGTTTGCTACCATGTCACCTGGCACTAGAGGTAGAAAAGTGGATAGGCCCTACTGAACTCCTAATCCAAAATTTTTGCTAATTATGTAAAAACTTTTTTGGTGTCTAAACCCTCACCATACCTAAAATGGTCTGGTCTAATCTCCAATCCATGCAGAAGAGTGACTATTTCTCAGCTACATGTTGGATTTTCTAGGTCTAAGAAGAAGCCATTCTTCTGCATGGATGGGAGTCTAGGCCAGATAATTCTACATATGGTAAAGCAATTTAGACCCAAGTGAGGAAGCCCCATTTCTGCCCCTCAGTTCTGGTCATCAACTCACTGGGGTCTGCCTTCTTCCCACTTTAGTACTGGGCCCTATGGAAATTTCCCTCACGGTCATCATGACCTTGCTTGCCCTGGGCTCAATTGCCATCTTCCTGGAGGACGCTGTGTATCTGTACAAGAACACCCGTTGCCCCATCAAGAGGAGGACTCTGCTCTGGAGCAGCTCTGCACCCACGGTGAGGGCCCCGTAGCTGCCTTGGGAGGGACTGGAGAGCAGGCGGGGACTATTTTGAGAATTCCTCTAAACTCAACAATTCAAGTCAGCAAAGAGTTGCTTGCCTCTACCACCTTAGGGTGGAGGTTCCTAATCTAATCTCCATTTGCATTCAGGACCCCGTGCTTGGAAGGCCAACAAGCAGTGGGATGGAGTGTTTGAATTCTGAGAGCCACTGAGACAGCTAAAGAAACCGCTCAGCCACCAGTGGCCCAGTCACTACTCTCCACAGTATTGCTGCTAAAAGCAAGCCTCCTTTCTGGACAGGCAAGCAGTGGTTCCTCAGAGAGTAGGAGGGAAAGAATTTTTTCCCGATGGGGTCATACTTAGCTCTACCCTTACATTATAGGCTTTTAAAACTCCCATAGCCATTATATTGGCCTTCGGCTTGCTTGTAGACCATATGATTGGACTTCTGTTTCCTTCTGGTGAGCTCTGAGTATCTGTTTGGGGTGGAGAGTGGGGCCCTCGAGGTCCTTTCCTGTCAGATGACATCTGCTTGGGCCATCTCAAGTCATCAGAGATGCTCTAATAACGTGGGATGTTGAAGAGGAAGGGCTGGATCTTGATCCATTTATTCCTAAGGATGAACTTATCTACTCCTACTCCGGGGATGTAGGATGAGCTAGTCTTCAAAAAACCCCTGGCTCAAGGTGACTTGCTGTCTATAACCTTAGACATAAAAGAAACTGACAGCTAAATTTTAAAGAAAGTTTTAAAATTCAATTAGTGATTTTCCCAGCTGGCCACTTTTAAGTAATAGTTCCTCAAATGTTTAGGTTCTGCTTCCTTGAGCCCTTGTCACCACAGTTTCAAGAGGGTGAGCACAGAGTCTCCCTCCTTCCCGCAACCGGCTTCTTGCTCCTCTCTGAGCAGGTGGTGTCCGTGTTCTGCTGCTTCGGGCTCTGGATCCCTCGTTCCCTCATGCTCGTGGAAATGGCCATAAACTCGTGAGTGTCCTGCCTGCCCCCAGCTCTGGGCCCGGTATCCTTCTGGGGTTCCCTTCTGCTCCCACTCACCTGAGAATCCAGGGTCCGCGTCTTCTTTTACAACCCCCCCCC